AAAACAGCCGAAACCCCGACTGTCGGGTTTTGCCGTATTTCCCTGCTGTGCGGTGTGGTGGGTGGGGGCGGGGACCGTTCCCGCTCCGATACCAATGTAGCGGACCCACCAGGTGTGGTGCTCCGCTAGTGACAGAGATGGAGATGGAGGAAGAAGGGGGAGCAAGATGGCACAACGCAGCTCCCCATGCAAGACTCCAACACACGTACTCCAAAATGTGCAAGTGAGGAATGAGCCTGAAAACAGACAATGGCTGGGGTATACCCCAGCGGACTGACGGGACTGGACTGGACTGGCTGGTACCGACAGAGGTACCGGCCTGGACTGGCCTACCCCGAATATAACACAGGCCTGTGAGAACAGGCCAAGGGGCTGGTCTCACAGGCCAACCCGAGGTCCGCTACAGCCCCCGCCCCAACCTGAAAGCCCCAAATGCACCCCCTTTTGGACTGCTCTTTCCGGTTTTGGGGACTGCACTGGTCCGGACTTGGAAGGAAATCTTCCCTACAGAAGTGCACAAGCTGAAATTGAAAAAGGAGGTACTCAGACAACCGCTATTTGGCAACCCATTGATAAGAGACAATGGGTGGCAGTCACCCATTGGCCCTTACCAATAGCGGCCAAGGCTCAAGGGACAGCCGAACGGACTGTGGACCAGTTGTATCGTGTCCGAGCTCTGTCTCGCTGAAGCGGCATGACAAAAGAGGTGTGCCAACTGGTTCCTTCACTACCGTATTCACCCGAATACAACGCCCTGTCATTATAGCTGCATTTGGGGCATTTTTCAGTCCAGGTGCAGCGATAATCACCGGGCGTTCTATTCGGGTGAAGACGGTAACATCAATTGAACATTAGCTCAGACAGAGTAATGTAGGCATCGAGCAACATCCTCACTCATGCGCACAAGTAGTTTCACAATGTGCCACACGTTCAGTTCACACCATTCCGCACATTCGAAACTCGATAGATTAGAATAATAAATAAGATAAGTATATCATAGAGTCCGATAGACATAGACAAGATAATAAACATAATCCTTTCATTGATCTTGAATCGAAAGCATAGTGCTTATCGACGCGAAAGCACAACATCGCAGCTTGGAGGCTCAGAAAAACTAGTCTAGACGAAGGAGGCATCTTGCAGTGCACCGTGAAGCTCTCTACGCTACTGATGAAAGTCGCAGCGTCCTACCACGCCCATCCTGGCGTATTACCCAACTAGTTTCTGCTGGTGCCAGCCCAGTGTCAGGAGGGGCGAAACGGAAGGTACAAGTGCAAGTGGCTGACAAGAGGGTTGTGGAAAGTTGCACACATATGGGACAATGAAACACACACATCATCGGATGAAGGCAGAGAACCTGCTACGAAAAAAAACTGGAAGGATGCCAGAGTCTAACTGGAAGCCTGTCACTGATAAAGCATACCTGAAGAGTGGAAGAAACTCCTCTCAGAAAAATTCACTTGGAAACAAGGCGAGTGGGGTGTCCTCGTGATGCTTCCAACCAATAGACCGGAGCACCTGGGCCAGGAGGTACTATGGGAAGATGCTCATACCACTCCCCACAGTAGCTGCCCCGGCCTCGGATTTGGGTTTAAAAAAAAAAAAAAAAAGAAAGGGGTAAGTTTGGTTGTGGCACAAACGAGTTTGAAAAGGGCAACAAAGTCACACACGGGCAACGAACTCGCGCGCGAAGTTCAAAAGAGCAACCAAAGTATTTTCACCTGCGCGCCGAGTTTGAAAAGGGCAACAAACTCGCTCCCCGAGTTTGAAAAGGGCAGTTACAAGATCACATGCGGGCCACAGCCATTTTTTACCGTTATCGTCCTTTTCAAACTCTGCACCCGATTTTGTTGCCGTCGCATGTTTTTTTGCCCATTCGAAACTGAAAGTGTGACACTGCCGTACTTGCTTCGCAAAAGGAAAAAAGAGTGGGGTGTCCTCATCCAAGACCAACAACCAGCCAAAGCATACAAATTCTCACACAGACTCTCTATGTGGGCATACTGCACATCCACACGGGCCTGCAGGGCCCGACCAGACGGAAAATAAGGGCCCTCCAGGCCCTGTGACGTTTCAGCCTAAAAGCCTGAAAACGAGGGCCATTTTCAGGCCCTCATAAAGTCGACCTGCCCTGAAACTCAGGCGCGAGACCAGGGTTTTTAGCACAGGCCGTTTTGGGCCTGTTTCAAGACAACCTTTGCTTGAACTTCAACACCAGGGTCTGGCACGTTTCGGCATCGGCAAGAGCAGCCTCCCGGACGGGCCAGCACTATGTAGTACTGGCCCGCCCTGCAGGCTGCACGTAGTTCATAGGGACTTCCCAGGCAGTTCACAGGCACTTCACGTGCGTTCAGGAGGCAGTTTTCAGGAGTTGGCCGCAACACTCTGGAGGAGCGCTGCAGTAGTAGTAGCTAGTGCTAGAGTAGTCTTCAGCGCTGGTCGTTGCTAGGAGGTAGAGTAGCGTTGGGAGAGAGAGAGAAGGGTGGGGGCCAGGGAGACTTACCTGGGGCGCCGTAGCTCGAGCTTCGTCTTCGATGTACCTGCAACAAGGCGCCACCTTCACAGGTTAGTACTTGGTACAAGAGGGAGAGAGAGAGAGTTCTTCTTCCTCCTCCTCTAAGTACACCATCTCTCCCTCACCCTCTCGCCACCTGACTTCTCAGTATCTGCAGACTACGAGAGAGAGAGAGAGAGAGAGAGAGAGAGAGAGAGAGAGAG